CCGACCTTGGCTTTAAAGTGTTGCCAAATATTCATTAGATACCCTCCTTGGTAGGAGTAACCCCTTGTCCACTGCGCTCATTACGTGTGGCTAATTTTTGAGCACAATTCGAATAACGAGGGTTGCTAGGACAGAAAGCGACTAGTAGTGGTAGCTCCAGCTATTCAAGACCCCTGCTCAACAGCAACTCAGACGACGTCGTAATGGCCCAAGATCCGCCAAGGACGTCAAATTCCTCTAAGGTCCCTCGATAGCGTTAGCGCCGAAGTCTTTTCAGGCGCAATGTGGCTCCGCAGGGGCCAGCCCGTACATTGCGTCAAACACGGTAACTTTCAGTTTTTGGACTAAGCTTTGTAGGAGAAGAGGGAATCCGAGCTGCGCGAGAAATTTTCATTCGCTCTGGAATTGATACCTCTATCAGGCTTAGTCCTAGCCGCCTTCCGAAGACTGCCCCCCGTAGTTACATTGCGCCTCTGTTTACGGACTACTTGATTTTTCCTCAATGGTCCTGCCGCGATGGCTAGAGCACAGACGATTAGAGAATGCCCTAGGACTAAGCCTTGGAGAGGAGAGGGACCCGCTAGAGAGCGCAGAGGCGGTAAAGGGCTGAGTTCAAGTAGTCCGTCAACCCTGTCTTTTATTGCCCCTCCCCCCTACAGGTTTTGTTCAGTAAACGAAGGGGAGAGATTACGATTTAGCATTACAAAGGAAGTTCGTGTGGAAGGGAGTTTGTGGGCAGTTAGGCCGTCGTATTGCGCGCATTCACCGCAATTTCGTCCATTTTCGAGGTCTCGCGCGTTTTTTCTTTGATCGCGGATATGAAGCTTAGCTTTTTGTTCCAATGTGAAACATTGCCCTCTCTCTTCACCCGTAATGATTCTTAATTTCTTATTTGTCATATTTTAGTCATGCCCGGTTTATCATGAGCGCTCATATAATGTATTCCCTTCCTCATTTTGCGTTATTTAAAGAAATCCTGGATCCCTGTCGTTTATAAGGATGCTCGTCAATCCAGCAAAGTTGCTGGTTAGACGGGCTTACAAATCCGTCAGATTTCCAGCTTTATTAGGAACACTTCACAGGCGTGGTGTGAGTTCTCTCTTGTTTTTCATCGAAAACTGTCCATGTTTCTGTTAGGTTTGGTTTCTTCTCGAATTGGAGTTATCGGGTTCCCATAGAAGAAAATAATGAGAATCTGAAAGACTCAAATAGTACATTCTTTTCAGAACAGGTCTTGCGAAGAGCATCTCGTTTACCGTACGCGTGCGGTTTTGTTCTTGCCCTAAATTGTCGACTACTAATGTTCCAGTAACAATTTTCGCACTTTGGCACCTAATTTTTTTAGATGGGTCTTGTTGCTGACGAAGAACCTGATAAGAATGAGTTCCCTACTGATGCACTAATATCTAAGGAAGAAAGTCAGCAGGTATTTGTTCAATTTTTTGCTAAAAAAGGTTTTCTCAAGATGTACAGGCGCAGAAGTTTTCGTTACCATTTCACCGTCCAGTCCTTATTTGACCCATTTTAAGCCGTCTCTGATCGAGAAGTACGGTCAAGAGGCTGATGGAAGGAACGTGGTGATCGCCATTCTCGACACCGGTGTAGATCCTTCGTTGCCTGGACTACAGGTCTGTTTTTTTTATGAAAATTACAACCACTATAGTTTTAAAACCACCTATTTTACGTTTTACCTTAAATTCCTGGAATAAACACTAGGCTAACTTAAGTCTGGTAACTTTGTTGCCGCGGGTTTGTCGCTAAGTCAGGAAGCAACTTTGGCTTTTTGCAACGCGAAACTTTTTCGCTGCGGTAACTTCAGTCTATTTCTTCGCATGAGTGGACACTGGTTGCGCGTAGTGGATACGGGTTCGCGCTACGAAGCTAAAAATCGCTCTCTGTCCTTGCGACCCGCGCCCCTGTTGCAGTAACCAAAAACCGTTCGTAAGGCCGATGTCAGACTTTGCGAATCGAGCGATTCGCTAGCGTCGCGGTCGCGTTGCGGTACCAGCCAATTGAGTGATTCACTGGCCGCGACGCGACCGCGGACGCTAGCGAATCGCTCGATTCGCAAAGTCTGACATCGGCCAAAACTGTGGTATGGCGCACACATCGCCCCACATATTACGACGAGTACAACTTTCACTGCGCAGGTTTTAAGGAGCGCGATTGGCTAGGACGAAGAGCGGCTTTTTGCTTTTCACAGCGCGAAACTTCCCTGCAGGGAACTCAGTTCCACTCTTGTTCAGGGGTGGACCCGCTGTTCCTGCAGCGAAAAGGTATCGCGCTCAAAAAGCGTTGCTTCTTGTCCGGGCGTATCCTATCCTTCAACCAGGCCATTGAAACAAAAGAATCTTCCACATTTGTTCTCAATGAAGCAGTTTCTTACTTTCGCGCGCACGCCCTACTTTTACACACATATATACATCAGGTGTATGTCCTTTACCAGGGCGTTTTTTTTGTAGGGAAGACTAAAACATTTTAAGGGAGTTTGATTTCCCTAGCCTGGGGGAAGGACAGGATACGGCTCCTGGATGAAATGTATAGTTGAGTGTACATATCAACAGGGTAGAACAGAGAGAGTGGAGTGCAGAAAGACGATTTTGAGCGGTGATAGGGAAGTGAAGACAACATAGTATACACAGTGGTGTTGTAAGGATGTTTATATCAAGATTTTGCATCACTGTGAAAGGCCAGCGTGTGAAAGGCCAGCGTGATATGTCTGCGTTCGGTGACAATCCAAACTCGTTTGATGTCCTGAGTTACCGACTTAAAGTAGTACGTGCACTCAGAACCAGGGTGTGTAGCGACTTGAATTAGCACGTGCACTCAGTACCCCTGTCATGAGTGAACCCTGAGTTTCCTGCAGTGAAAAAAGCTTCGCGCTGCGAAAAGCGAACAAGTAGCTTCGTGTCTTAGCGAACCACGCCCCTTTACGCACCTTTCTCAGGTGCTTGACTAGCAAAATAAAGGAGATATTTCAAACGCGGCCCTTGAATGTTGGAGTTTTTGCTGTTTTTTCCTCTCCAAAAAACACACCTTACTACTTTTTGTATGGATCTATTTGTAGTTGACAACTGATGGATCACGAAAGTTAATTGACTGCATTGACTGCTCTGGAGCAGGTGATGTCGATACAAGCGTGGTGAAGTCAGCTGTTAACGGCACCATTATCGGTTTGACAGGTCGCAACTTGAAAGTATGATTTATTTATTTTTTGTTCACCGTTTGGTTTGAATATTCATTCATGCGATCCTAGATCCCTGAAACTTGGAAGAATCCTACCGGGAAGTGGCATCTCGGGATTAAACCTATTTATGAATTGTACCCGAAGTCGCTGCGCAAAATCGTCAAGGTATTATTGAGATATTAAGTTAAAGTTTAGTTGCTCTATTCATTACCTGTATTCTTTTTATTTTTAGGAGGATTGGCAGAAAGAATCATGGGACTCTCCACAACAATTGGCGAAAGCCGACGCCCTTCGTCAGCTCCTTGAGCATGAAGATACCATCGGAGGGTACAGCGACAAAGATGTGCGTGGTGCTGTTCAAATTTACTGCAATAAGCTGAAGCGATGGTGAATTTTTCTAGGTGGACAAGCACGATCGTGAGAATTTGGCATGCCAGGTCGATTTTTTGAAATCTGTGGACAAGTTGGAAGACAAGGGTCCCGTCGCAGATTGCATTGTTTGGCACGATGGCGACCAGTGGAAGTAGGTTTTGTGTATTCAGAGGGCTTTTGGTCCTAATATGCTTCATTTTAGAGCATGTATCGATACGTCATTCCGAGGCAGGCTCGCTCTATGTAACGAAATGGGTGATTTTCGACTTACTGGAGAGTACAATAAACTTTCGGAGAGAGGTACGGCATTCGTAGGAAAACCGTGTGTTGTAACTTGATGAGTTCGTTGATGATCTCAGACGTGGCAAACTACACCGTTCATATTGGGTCATCCGGAAATCGCTTGGAAATCTGCTTGCCGAGTGGAGCTCACGGATCGCACGTGGCCAACATCGCAGCAGCTCACTATCCGGACACTCCCGAGCTGAATGGTCTCGCACCTGGAGCTAAAGTTAGTGCTCAAGATGGTTTATCGCTTTCCTTTTTGAGAGCTTGTCGTTTAGATTATTTCAATGATGATCTCTGATGTTCGTGTAAACTCGATGGAGACTGGTACCTCGTTGATCCGAGCTTTCAACAAATGCGTTGAAATGAAGGTTGACATTGTGAACATGTCCTTCGGAGAGGGCACTCATTTCCCGGACAAAGGGTATGTAAAGTTGAGCTTGTTCTCAGAGAAAACTACAATTACTGGTACACTAAATTCAAGTGGGTCTACTCTGATTTAACGTCGTACTAGGTGACGGGCAGTGCTCTGCGAGTCTCGTTCCGCCCTATTTTTCTGGGTAGCTCCTTTCACGGTTCTTGCTTAACATTTCACATGGCTGTGATGTTCGTGATAGGGCCATCAGGCACACACAAAAGTAGCGTCTGGCTTTCACGGCGGAGAGGGGTAGAGCAACCCAAACCATCATTTTTGTAGAGTTGCCATACGCTGCATGATCAATAATAATAAATGACATAATGATACGCTACTCTCGTTATTAGTCCAATCAGAACTAAGCAGGAAAGAGGTTCGCATGGCTCTTCTATGTTTTAGCAGCGGTCTCAAAATCAAAAATGTCTCGTAAAAACTTTTTACGAGACATTTTCGGAACATTTTCAAGATACCCTTTGCTTCAGAGAAGCGCCGAGTCAGAGCACACACCACAAGTGACGACGGCCTCCAAGTAAATCTGGTTAGTAGTTCATAGTGATAGCTTTTGGTAAATGATAGTTGTAATTAGTGACAACTGATAGAATACAACTGCAACAGGCTAATCATTTCATTGGCAGAAAACATTTACATTTTGTGGAGGCCGTCGTCACTTGTGGTGTATGGTCTGCACCCGACGCTCTTCTCGCTTTTTGAAAGGGAGGGTATATTGAAAGTGCGGCAGATCGCGGTCGTTCGAATTCGAATCCAAAGTCGTCGAGAGTAATCCAAAGAGACAATTAAAAAGATATTAGCTTCAAATAAAGAAGGAATTTTCGCTCAACTCAATACGTAACTTCGAAAGGACGCAAACTTACGAAATAATTCTCATAAAATAACCAATGAGTGTATGGGCAAGCCTCATAACTTTCACTTTGGATACTGAAACTTGTCTTCCACGTTCTTTATCCTTTAGTTTTTTCCCTCCATAATCCAATCTTACATTCACTCCATTACCTACGCATATATCCTAATATTTGAATCAATCAAAATCCGAATCAAAATGAAGCGTGACAAGGCAAATCCTAAGAATACAAGGTGTTGCTCTTGTTGAAGAGGGACAGAAAGGAGCAGGGCATGGTCGAGCAACGGCCCAAAGCATCCTACTAAGACGGGGTAACCGCAAGCCCACCGCGAAGGGGTGCGTTACGCGGGTGGTCGCGGATAATCTCCGTAGCCCATGACGCCTTGAACGTCGTTTCCAGGTCAAAATCTCCACGTCACCCTCTCAACCGGCGCCTACAGGTCAGAACATCCACGTCACCCCTCGACCGTCGTCTTCACGTCGTTCCACGTCATCTCCACATCATCTCCACGTCGCCCCGATACCACAACGAGTGGCCTCCATCAGTCTCGCTGGAAGAAGCCGCGCCAACCAGTCGCCCCGGAGCAGTCTCCTCACCAGTCGCCGGACCGATCGCCTCAACCTGTGGATCGCCTCGACTTGTGGAGACAACCAGTCGCCCTGCTACCGCCGCTAGAGCCGATACCCATCGCACCATCATATATTTGGTTTTGTTCGAAGCTTTTTAAGTGTACTGTCGTCTAGCAAGAGGGGTAGTGCGTAGGCTCTTAACACTCGGGGGACCACATCCTCATATGGAGCCGAACCGGGATTTTCTCGACCCCCTTGGCCGCAATGGAAGTTCCTGAAAGCGTTCGAGGAGTGGAGGACGACGGACATCGACATAGGATTAGAACTCCTTCAATGAAGG